TACACAAAGCGATGCACATCTTCCAAACCTGACGATTTTAAGCGCCAAGCGACTTACGTAATGTAGTCTCATAGAAGTTAAATTATAAATACGCGTCAGTTGTCAGGTCACATGCACGCTTACTTTATAAGATTGTAGCTAGCTTCTATCAATTATCTTCAACCTTGACGTTGGCGAAATCATCGAAATAACGATGGGGTTAACTAATCATTAAAAGAAGAAGAAGATTGTAGCTAGTAGTAGCTCCGATTTCGAAAATGGCGGACCAAAGCTATACAGTTATTTTATTATAAATATGCTAGGCGTCATCCGTGTAGTCGAAATGCCTGTGTTGAGCGGATAGACAATTCGCGTCGACGATTCTCATCTTTGTGCATGGAGTGCGCAACGCGCTACTCGCAACACAGGTATGCAATATTAGTCTCGAAGATTTACGTTACTCTGTGTACGAAGGGGTTTATACGATACCGGTGAGCTATTGAATATAAAGCAAGAATAGTATCGTTTACGTTATTTTTATTATTTTAAGCAACGTGCGCTGAAATGTTCAGGATGAAATTTTATTACGTGTATTTTATTTCGTTAGAATTGATGCACGTTTCAAGGTTTAACACCTTCCAAAAATACCACGTGCAAAATGTTTAGTTTAAATTTTTTATAATATTATAAAAATCCTGACTCATGGTAATAAGACTTGGGAATTATAAAGATACTAATATAATAAAGCGTAAACACACACTTCTTTGTTGTCTAAGTCAGCAATTACAGCATATTTTTGAATAATTATTTTTTTAATAAAAAGCCCTTCACTTGCTTCACGCTTTAGGCTATATATTTTCACGCTATTTAACTTAGTTGGTAAATAAATTGGATAAAAGTTCTAACGTGGGAAAGAGACCACAAATTGTTGCCAACATCAAGGAAGCAAGATTACCATGCATTCTCATCATGCCATGTCATTTTGATATTTGTAAAATTTGTCAGATGTAAACAATAATTTAAAATTTTCAAAATTTCATGCGGATGAAGACGCACGGAACAGCTAGTAATATTATAAAAATCCTGACTCATGGTAATAAAATTTGGGAATTGTAAAAAATAATTTTATATCACATTGAAGCCAAAAACAGGTAATCAGGCGGTACGGAGTTTACGAGTCGAGCTTTATTAAAAGTTTGTGTTAACTATGATTTAGCATTTTTTTTTTCTCAGACGAATAGGAAAGATATCTTGTTATAAAACTTGAGTTAAGTTTAACTAGAATAGTTTCAATGCACAATATTATGTGCAAAAATGTTGATCTAATTTCCGACTACGAATCCGTGAACATAGAATTTTATTATAAGACATACGAGTAAAACACACATGTAAGAAAAGTTTAGTTACATATATACATTTTGATAAAAATATAATTGAACGAATGAATGAATGAATATGTATTTATTGCCACAAAATAGAAATTACATAAAAGGACTTATTCTAACGAAAACACAATCGTGGCAAAAGGTAGCCAGCTCAGCGTATGCAGGACGGTATAAGCCGTTCCTGCGCTGATTTTCAGCTGGCTCCTTCGCACTCAAGTAACATACCTCAAGTAGCTTAATTATTGTACTATTTTATTAGATGTATTTTCATAAATTCATAACCTTTAAACTCTACTGGTAAAATACTTTCTAGGTTTTTTCCGGTGGAATCCCACGGTTAACTAGTTGTGTTTAAAAAGCATTTGAATTTAATAAACAACATTATCTACGAGAATATTGATAAACAATAAAAAAACAATTTGTTTCTTACACATGTTACTAATTACAAGCTGTGGTTATTTATTTTTTTATAAAAGGTTAATTGCTTGTATATCAGCGGTTACCGTGTTCTTGTGTTCTTGTCAATTATTACTTTAATCGGTTACGTAACGTAGCCGAGATATGTTTAGTCTTTATTAACCGCACTGTTGTTAAAGTAAACATAACGTGTGCATTGACACGATAATAGATTTAACATTATAATGATCTAAGAATAGTTAAATCATCTTCTACCCATGGTTGGAAAACCAGATTTTCCTTCTTCAGGTTAATCTATTTTTTTTATAACATAAGGTGGCAAACGAGCAAGCGGCCACCTGAATCCAAAATGGCGAAGTACCGCTGCCCATAGACGTCAGCAATTGCAGTACGCTGCTTACCCTTTATTGACGGAGCAGGAGACATAAAGAGGATTCCCCTTTCTATGCATCTCCTCTACCGTCAAATCCACTTCCCGTTACCATCCTCTCCTTATAAAAAAAGAGTGGTAAAGAGAAAGGGACTTAAATTAGGCCTCCGGCACCACACTCATCAGACGAAACACGGAATTGCTTCCATTTCACGCTGTCTTCTGTGTGGTCGTGGTATTACACCGGGCGTGCCGACCCATTCGTGCTAAGATATTGAAGCGGGCACTACCCCTGTTAAATTCCCGTCATCTCAGTCACTCTCTTCTTGATCGGTGTACACACCGGTGTATCACACCGGTGTACCCCCGAATAGTTAGACCATGTGCACACCTGAAATCAAACTATCGCACAACTATTTAGTCGCGCTTTGATTCAATGGTTGTGCAACTAACAAATTGAATTGGCTGCGAAACAATTGACAATCGACAATAGCACAATAGATGTGGGATATTTTAGTCAAAGATGTACGCCCGCTCTTAGAAGATGAATTCAATAAAAAAATTATCAAGTCTCAATACAATTTTTTTTTAAATAGATGATTGTTCAATTAATATGTCATTAAAAATATAGCGAAAAGAATTTATAACTTTCTTTAAAATTTCTAGTCGATTTGAAGGAAACCTTACTATAAAATTTAGTTAAGAACAAAATAAAATCGTAATTTTCTTGTTTGTTAAAAAACAATTATTCCGACATCATTTGGATGAACAAAATTAAAGAACGATTACAAAGACATTGGGAATAAAACGTGTTGGTTAAAACAAATAAGCTATGTTTCACTACAGTTATGTTATGCCAGTACCGTATTCACTTAATGAAGTGATCAGGGATCATTTTATGATAGCTATGAGATCGGAGATAAAACTTGAGTCGTTAAAAGATACGGATCGCCGGAATTTATGTGACACGTATACCCGTGGAAATCCTTAGAGATTGAGTTGAGGATATCTTTCATAATATACGAAAAAAATCAATAGACTGCTTGTATACAGATTCTTAGTGTACATCCTGTTTAAATATTATTAAATTATTTAAATCGTTTATTAATAATGACCAATCCTTTTGGAGTATCATGACTACAAATGCTAATTTCATACTGGATATGTCGGATTTTTTTTTTGTAACAATATCGTTGGACAAATATATTTTTTTCATTATTAATATCAAATGTCTTAGAGCCTATTAAGAAAAACCGCAATAAGACCTTATTACTGCGTCTTTTTCAAGTGTTTACCGTAAAAGAGGATGAGCGTTTATTTTTAAAATATTGAGGAAAACGCAATAACACTCTTAATAATTGTGGAACTTTGAAAGAATCTAATATATATTGGATTAAAAAAAAACTCCAGTTTAAATAAAAGACTTCTTGATTTTACGATTTAACAACCGACATTATGCTTATATTAATGTACTAGCTGTTGCCCGTGTGCGCTCACGTAAAATTAAAAAAATGTAACCAAATGTTACTTATAGAAATTACCTTTCGAACGGTGATTGTTTTTAAATCAGCCCAGTAGTTTTTTAGTTTTATCAATACTTATAAAATTACAAATCTTTCCTCTTTATAATATTAGTATAGAAGTATAGATAACAAGTGCTAGTAAAAAGTGGACAAAACAGTACTTGTTTCTGTTATAACATTAGGAAACTAATTGGACTTCTTTGTTTAAGATATGTATAACAGAGATTGTCCCACCACATACGAGTACTATGAAGTAAATTTAGCAATTGTAGTGCCTATTTCATTTTGTTTCGTACCAAATACTTTCAAGCAAAAAGTAAGCGTTATTTAAAAGTCTTTAGGGACACGTTAAGAGAAACTTTTACAAAGTTTTCATGCCGTTTCGCTTGTTGAAATAGTACTTTTAGAAAAGAGAACTCGAATACTTATTGTATATTTTTGCGACTTCTGAAGTATTGAAAGTTCTACCTGGAGACCTTTTGTTCTGAAAGTTAACTGACATTGTTTTTTGGTTAGCGTGAGTTTACACTGTTCACAGAATTATCTATACTAATATTATAAAGAGGAAAGATTTGTATTTTTGTCTGTAACACAAAAACTGGGGCTGATATTAAAAATTCTTTCTGTAATAAATAGCTACGCTATTACTGAGTAATAGGCTATTTTTACTATAATTTTTATTTCCGTGCGGACAAAGATGCGAGCAACAGCTAGTCAAAAACATTATCACGTAAGTATGTATTCTTTAATGGACGTATTTTTATGTTATAGCAGTTGAAGCCATGATTAATTATAAAATATTCTGTAACAATGAAAACAATAAAAAAAATACTTTTATGTTTATTCATTTTTGTACTAAACTTTGACCTTAAATAAACTTGGTAAATTTTTCCACTTACTAAAGTAAATATTTTTATAAATCAGTCTCAATATACGCAAATATTTCGTATTGAACCCAAAGTATTTTGAAGACCGCGATAGTGTAAATGTTTGAAGCAAAAATGACCACTTGAATCATATTGACGTCGCTCAGCGGTTTCGAATTTTTCTTCGCTATTAAAAGGATATTTGTAAAAATAAAATATTCAGCTTACATATTGGTAAGAAAAGCAGATGTCAATAAATCTTAAGTAAATTTAAAAAATAGATCATTAGAATTAAAAAAAAATTACATTTAACTTAAAAAAAATCATGGAATGTTACCTAAAAACTATTAAATTTAATTAAAATTTATTTTAAATTTACAAACTCCTTTCTTAATTACAAGTGAAATTAATTAACAAAAATATAGTAGTAAAATGCCGTAAAAATATAAACAGTACTTACAATAACTTTTTCTTAGTTGTAAAGACTTGCCATCCACAAAACTTTTCACCTTCAATACACTAACAAAATTATTAACAAAGAATTACACTAAAAATTAAGAATGCAAGCACAAAAAAAAAGGTATTAAGTATATTGAATTTTAAATAAATTATAATTTGAAGAAAAAAAACTTTACGCGCGTCTATGTTTCGGTCGAGGAGTCCGTTACGAACGGACGCTAACTTTAGACTAAACGCCGATCTTCAAGCGTCGCTGCTACGATTTCCCACTTCAGTCGTTGAAGCTTTTAAAACGCTACGATGTAGAAAACCTTTCGCTGTTGTTAACTGTTTTAAATATGGTATATATTTTAAATCTATCTATACTATTATAATAAAGCGTAAACACACACTTCTTTGTTGCCTAAGATGTCAGCAATTACAGCACATTTATGAATAATTCTTTATTTTATATAAATCCCTACACTTACTTCACGCTTTAGGCTATACATTTCACGCCATTAAACTTAGGGGGTAAATTTAGATAAAATCCCTAATGTGGGAAAGAGACCATAAGTTGCTGCCAACATCAAGGAAGCAAGATTGACAAGGTTTGTCATGTCATGTGATGTTGACATTTGCTATTGATAATTTGACAGATGTAAACAATAAAATAAAATTTTCATAATATTATGCGGATGAAGTCACATGGGAACAGCTAGTATTCTAATACAAACAGAATTTAGCAGAAATAGATAACGAAAACAGCCTTCTTCTATTTTTTTTTTAAATAATTATATGGACATGGGACATAAAGCCCAGGGAATTTCGTTCTTGCGTAATTAAAAAGACATCTTGTAAGAAGCTTATGTGCTATTTTAGACAGCCTTTAAAGTAACCTGTTAATTATTTTCTATACATTCTAATTAACTTTTCACAATGATAATATAAATTAAGAAATAAAATCGAGTACGTTATTTGGGAAGGCAATTTAAGATATAAAATTGCTAAACAGAAATAAAATTCGCTTAAACGATTTTGTTGGTCCTTTTCCATCAATATTCGTTGTAATTTAATACGTAAATCATGATTTCACTACCTTTTTACGAGCCGTTGGCTATTTAGGAAGGTGTATGAAAGGGCCCTTGAATATTGTGAAAATTGCGAATAAAATTTTTATATGAAATTATTCTGATATTTTCAACCGTAGATTTTCGAAAATGATTCACAAAACGAACAACGAGTGTTTTTGTATAACGAGATGGTTTTTAGTATTTTGACTGTGAAAATCATACATGCACTAGCTTTCGCCCGCGACTTCGTCGGCGTGGAATTAAAAAAAAAGTAAGTATGTGTTCTTCCAGTATATCCTCTACATTTTTACCAAATTTCATAGAAATCTGTTCATCCGTTTAGGCTACAAACTCTAACAAACATCCATCCATCTAAACTTTCGCATTATAATATTAGTATTAGTATGATTATCTTTCAAGTTTAAGTTGGGTCAAATAATCATGTTTTCGAGCAAGGAATCTACTGTTGTCTATTGTACACGTCTTTCCCGGACACCCTGTATTTTACAGTTAGGTATAGAGTTCTTCTTTAAACTTAAATATTTCCAATGACTAATCTAGTTTATGGTACTAATATTATGAATGCTGAAGTTTTGATAGATGGTAGAATGTTTGTTAGAGTTTGTAGCTTAAAGTGCTGAACGAATCTTGATGAAATTTGGCACAAATGTAGAGCAGTCTAAAGGAACACATAGGCTACTTACTTTTTCTTTCTTTTCAACACGGACAGAGTCGCGGGAAAATGCTATTTTGTTGTTGTTTTGTGAGCACATTGATACTACAATAAGTACTTAGAGCGCGCACGCTTTTGACTAAACTATCGCAGAACTGTTTAGTTGCACTGATTCCTATGAGCTGATATGGAGGTGCACATACTACTCGATTTTCAGTGCAACTAAACAGTTGAATTGGCTGCGAAACAAAGGACAATCGACAATCGTTTAGTCAACGGTGTGTGCCCGGTCTTAATCGTTGCAGTTGGCAGTTAGTGCAGTTAACGGTTAGTTCATACAGTTAATATATAGTTGCTACACGTGTTTTTAACGATAGCTATTAAGACTATCGTTAAAGCCACATAATAGCCTTTCCCTATTATTATGGCGTATTTAGTATCTACGGAATAGTGTGTTTTTCTTACGAGAATAATATTAAAGTTTGATGTTTCTGTCAAATCTATACTATTATAATAAAGCGTAAACACATACGTCTTTGTTGCCTAAGATGTCAGCAATTACAGCATATTTTTAAATATTTTTTTTAATAAAAAGCCCTACACTTAGGTCACGTTTTAGGCTATATGTTTCCACGTCATTAAACTTAGGTGGTAAATGTTTTGGATAAAAACCCTTAAATGAGAGAGAGAGAAAGGTACCATAAACTACAAGCTGCCAACATCAAGGAAGCAAGGTTGTCATTTATGTATTTGAATTTTGATATTTGACAAATATAAACAATAAAATTAAGTGATTATTATTTCATGCGGATGAAGCCGCACTGGAACAGCTCGTTATTAATAAAAATACGAGACTTTAAAAGTAAAATTCTGCATTACGAACGCTTTTTATATGGTAGGTTTCTGAAGCTTCCATTTATTATAGATTAACCTATAATCCCAGTTTTAACGAAGTAAAACTTAAGTTACGTAATTCAGAAACGCTTTTAAAGAAGTAATCGAACGAAAAACACTAACAATTGGTTAAATATAGCTGGGAAATCAGCCATTAATGTTTCAATTGTTGTCCAATGTCTATGAAATTGTGAAAATTTAATGTCACTGGTTGCTTGATTTAACTCTTATTATGTTTAACGAATAGTAAAAGAGAATGGTTACAAGTATTTTGGTCTAAGTAAAAAAATAGATTCGTTTTTATCTCGTTATTTGATTAGCTATTTTCGACTATCTAAGCAAAAGGCGCTAAATCTATTACCACTATAAAGTATATTTGAAAAGTTTCCTATAAATGTATCTAATTGAATACTTTCTGTAGAAGTATGTCGGAAAGTGGTGCTCTTTGTAGGTACCTCTTACAGCGGATGGAGTGTGTAGACGGCCTTACATAACCCTCTCAAAGTGCCACGTGGGAAGTGCAGAGTGACGTAACAGATGCTACCTAGAAATGCTCTCTTTAATTGAACTAGTTTGTACTTGGAACTTTTTCTGTTATTGGTTTTATTTTAAAGAAAAAAGTGGTTTAGATTTTTGTTACTAATGGATTTAACGATTGACTAGAATATGGAGAAGTGTTCGCTTCATTAGACCGATGGAAAGGTAAAAACTTGGCCGACCCTAAGGACGTAGGATAAGGGGGGAAAGATTGTAACTTTAGGCGCTTATGCATAATAAGATAACAATAATGTTTTTTAACATGAAATAATAGAAAATGTTTTGAATAACCACAAAATAATATATGTAATTTATTCATGTTTTTCGTCAAACATATAGTAATGAGTTCGCATTGTCCGAAAGATTCTTATCAACAATTTATCTTGTCGTACTTAAGGGTCGAATCGAAAGACATTCGTCCCCTAAAACCTCTACCTTTATATTAACAATCGGTTTTCATATTACAATAAAAATCTATTTTGATTCAATTTATATTTTTACTTCATTTGTTTGTCAAAATGTCTTGCATGTGGCCTTAATTCCACTGTAACGAGCATGGCTTGAATACGAGGTACAAATATTTCTTTGTTAGAAAATTGTATTTATTTCAATGTGGTTGAATAAATTAGTGTTAATTAAGTAATACAAAAAAGTTTATTGCGCCATCATCTTTTGTTTACACACTAACTTTTTTCTTAAATTATATTTGCTGTTTTATTGGCGTTAGGCTTCGCCACCAAAAAGGTTTCATTAAACTAAAGAGAATTGATTATAAAAATTTGTACCCATAAAGCCTGCTGTACAGTAGTGTTAAAAGTCGAACTGTACAGTTAAAACTGAAAGTTTTCAGCTCGCTTTATTTTGTTTTTATTGTCTCATAAATAATAAATGTCTTCGGTAAATAAAAATCTCGGTGGCCGATAGCCGACAGACGGTAAAAAAAAGGTTGGATTTTCGTCTTTCTCTTTTCGTTGTATTGACAGAGGTCAGCCTCATTTAACAGAGATAACAATAAAGGGCAATGTTTATGAGAATAAAGACGTGGACGACAAAATCTCTAAAAGCACTCGCCAATAAAATCTCTGACCAAAAATGTTTTTCTTTCGAACCTTTCTCAGTGAGAAAAGAGAAAATCTTTGACAAAAAATACAACAAGATTTGTAAATAATGAAGGAGATTAAAAATTATTTTAAATACAAACAAATGACAATAATATACTAATATTTTAGCAATATTTCTATTTAAATATTGTTCATACACATAGAAATCTGTAAGTAACATTGATGAAGTTCAAAACTATATAATTAACTAGTTTTCGCCCCAGACTACAGCCGCCAAATGCCAAATTTAATTGAGATCCGATCATCGGTTCAGGCTTCAAACTCTAACAAACATCTATCCATCTAAACTTTCGCACTTATAATATCAGTAAGATAATATAAGAGCTTAACAAAATTATAAATTTCTTTGTTTTGTTATAAGCTAATAGCAGCGTTGTAAAGTTTTTAAAAAATATCCTTCTTATTATATTATTTAATAGAAAACAAAACACTTTCATAAATAACAAACTTTTTAAAGTAATTACTGTTACGTTGTTTACAATTCTATTTTTACACCGTCCTTAAAGGCGTTTGATCGATTTTCTTTCAAGCCAGTTACAAACTGCTTCTGTTTTTACGACTTTGTAAAGATAATTTATAGTCGATTATTAAGCGACTTCAATAAAGAATTTATTATGTTGTCAGTTTTTTTTTTAAATATACATTTCATGTTTATATTGTTTATGGAAAGCTTCTATAAACTATTTAATAAAAGTTGTTATTAAATTGAATTACTTCTATAATCTTATATTGTACTAGCTGTTGCATGCGACTTCGCCCGTGTCAAATTAAAAAATATAGCCTATGTTACTCACAGATAAATTA